GTCAACTTCAGGAGTTTATCAGTTCCTTGGTCCCAAGTTAGAGAACACCAAAGAATTGATCCTGTTTTTAATATGCTTAAATATGTAAATATCTCATTTCAAATAAATAACTTTTCCCTTCGAAATTAGTTCAACCACCTTAAGTTGAATTGTTGAATCATGGAAGTTTATTATGACTTGAATTTTTTTTCCTTCTTTTTTAAAATTTAAAAAAATTTTTTAAATTTTTATTTTTTTATTATGTTTAGTTAGCCAGCATATAGTACATCATAGGTTTTTGTTGTAGTTTTCAACGGAATCAATAGTTGCATAATTTTCCACAATAATAAGGTAAAAAGAGATGAAAATCCCTTTCTATTTTAAAATATAAAAGCAATTCTAAAAACATGGAAAGATGCACAAAGAAAATAAAACAACCATGGTCCTACTGCTGAGAGGTCACTATGGTAACTTTTTGATTTATTTCTTTCTACAAAAGTATATTTAAATAAAATATACAGTGTTGTTTTGAGCCTTTGTGTGCTTAATAATTATCATGTATACTTTCTTGATAGTTTAAAAATTATTTAAAGTCATTTTTAATGACTGTTGAGTGTTTTGTCATATGATTGATCATCATTTATTTAACTATTCTCCTATTTTTGGACATTCAAGTTATATTTCATTAGTCATTATTAAAGTAATGAGCATCCCTGTGTATGAACCTTTGCCTGTGTTTCTGTTCTCTTCAGATAGAGTTTTGTGTTACTGAGTCAGAGGGTCTAAGCATTTAAAAACTCTTGGTCTATCTGTCAAATTATTTTCCACTGAGTTGGTATCTATTTAAATTCTTACTGGTAGGGTCTGAGAGTGCCTATTTTTCAGTATGCTCATTGTGATTGATGGGTTTTAAAAAATATCTGTCACTGTGATTTTTTTAAAGGTTTCTTCAAAAAATTTTGCTTTTTGGTGGAGAGCAGTTACCAGTGGTGTTGAACATGTTTTTCATGCTTATTGGCCATTTGTATGATATCTTAAATGATCTCTTCTGGGTATGCTGCTCATTTGGCCATCTGTAAGTTTTTCTCATGTGTTTTTAAAATGTACCTTCTTTTGGACCTACAAAACTTCAGTTAGAGTTTCTCCTAGTTGTCTCCTCTGAAATGGTGGGGGGTATCCTAACTGAGAGACAAAATGAAATAAAATACGAACTCACTCGGAAGAGGGTACTCCCGGTATTTTCGATAATAGACAGCAAGTATCAGCGGTTTTCTCTGTTGCCAGGCTCTGTGACATTATTTACATTTACTATGTCGCTTAATTGCCACAAGATTCCCATAAGGCTGACTGTTACTATCTGTTTTACAAATAAGGAAACTGAGTTGTAGGGAGCTTCAGTAACATGCCCAGGTTCACACAACTGCAGTGTGAGAGCTAGCCCTTGAATCCAGATCTGACTGCACAGAAAATTTACTGTCGAAGATCCTGTTGTCGAGTGTTTGCCTTGACCAGACCTGCATGGAAGCACTTACATCACATTTCAGCTTGGGGTTTCTTTCCTTTGTGTGTGAGGAGGAGGCAGGTGGGGGAGGGGAACAGGGTCTTTTGGGGGCTGAAGTCATTTCATGTTTGGGCTGGAAATGCAGTTGACCCTTTCTCGTTCACTTCCTGTGGATCAATGTCAGAGCACTGTGCTTGTTCCTGGGAGCCTTGTCCCCTGCTTTTAGGAACTGACATTCTTTTGTTGTTGCTTCTAGCATCCACTCAAAGCTGAGCTCAGGGTAACGGCCGAGGGGCGAGAATTCATCTTGGACCTGGAGAAGAATGAGTAAGTGGACTCTTCATTTATCCATAATGAAACACTTCACTTCCATGTCAACGCCGGATGCAGGTGCCACTGTTTTGGAAGGAAGCAGTTTGTGAAATCACCAAGCGCTCCATCTGGTTCCTTTGCGGGGAGTGTCTTCCAAAGACAGCATATCCCCCATCTCTTGACTTGCTGTGAAATTACTGGACCATTTAATGTCTTCCTTGAATTTCCTCTGGCTGTATTTCCGGGGCCTCCTAGAGTTCACTGCAGGCACACAGGGGTGTGTGTATGTGTGTGTGTGTGTGTGTGTGTGTGACGAAGGGAGGGATGGAATGGAGGACTTTGGCAGCTGACTTACTAGCTCCAGCACAGCGCATGGCAGGAAGTGAAGGAGATTAGAGGAAAACAGCAGAAAGCAGAGAGAGAGGCAGGGCGGAGTGTTGTGGGATTTGGCGCCTCAAATGCAGGCTGCTCCATGTGTTCTGGGTCAGCTAAGTCTGAGATTCTGCCAGGAAGGGCATGGTCAGCAGTCTCCTGGCTTCATCAGGCTGATTCCTCCATCTTCCTAACCTCATTCATCTCGGGTGGCTGCCTGGCTCAGGAATATTTCCACATTGATTTGCCATCAAGTGCATTTGTATCTTGATTCATTTTATTGAGCAGGTGAATAGACATAAGCATGGCTACTCGTCGGCCATTCCCAATCTGCTTGGCCGCCGAGCGCTCTCCTTACTTGGCTGGGGGATGCTGAGGCTTCTGGTATTTTCCCACTAACTAGTTCTGCCTCACAGACCTCGCAGATAAGGCTGCATGGCTCAGAGAACTGCCTGCCTCCTCTTGGCAGCCTCTGGAGTCCCCTGGAAGCAGATGAGTAATCAGATGCATCACTGCCAAGAAAGAGATGGATAGAGACCTTCCCATATCCAGAAGGATGGGAATGGCTGCTAAGCTCGGGTAGAAAGCAAAAACATGAATTATTCCAAATTTGGGCTTTTGGATACTTGCAAAGGAGCGTGAGTAGTGTTGGAAGTGTGGTAAAAGCATGCCTTAAGCAGCATGTACAGCAATGGGCTTCATCCACATCTTTCCTCTGCCTCCAGTCTATGGTGGCCTCTGGGAAGCTGGGAAGTTGGGCATCTCAATCATTTTTGCTACTTTCCTCCTAACAGTGAAGCCACCCCAAGAATGGCTTCCTTTTGTCCCATTTGCCTGGAACAGAATTGGCTGTCTATGGCCCCAGAAGGTGTCGACTCTGCCTGTTTGGGATTTCTCCCTGTGTTGTCTTCCTCTGGTCCTGCAGAAAATGCCTTCAGAGGGTCTCTTCTTGTTGGTCTCTCAGGAACCTGCTTCCGTTTCTCGTGGCTCCAGCCCTCCAGCTCCAGGCTGAATGTCTCCTCTTGCCACCTGAGTCTAATCCGTCCTATTTGGCCTCAAGTGGACCATTTAACCCTCAGCTTCCTCTGGGCAGTCCAAGTGATGGGGGGGATGTCATGGGTAAATGGGATCCCCAGACTCATCCTTCCCTTGGGTTTTGGAACCTGTGCAAGGGGCCATAGGAAGTTCGAGGAGGAAGATGTCTTAGAAAACCCTGGACACGATGGTCTTATGCATGGTTGTAGAAACTTTGAATCAGAGAGCGATAGGCAGGCACTTGCCGAAGGTTGCCCAACAACCTAATCGAGAGAGGTGAGACTAGGGTCATTCGTGTTCTTGGCTTGGGTCTGGAGAAACCGAGGTTTAGTTCCTAGCTGTGTAATCTGGGGCAAATTGCTGCAATTTGTGTAAGCTCAATGTCCTCATCTAAAAAATGAGGATAGTAATGCTAATTCCATAGGGTAGTTGTGAATAGGCAGTGTGCACAAGGTGCTTATATTATAGAGCACACGGTGAGTGATCAGGCACGGTGGTGAGTTTTATGGTCCCACATGAGAGCTTCAGAGCAGGGCCCTCATGTTCTATTGTCGGCTGCTCCAGGCAGCCCTTTGGTTTCCCAGTGAGCAGCAGGGGGCTGGATGTGCTTCCTGGCCTCCTTGAGCTGGCAGAAGGCAGGAGACTTGACAAAAATGGAAGCAGCAGAGCCAAGCAGTATGACCTCACCAGGTATCCCTGGGGGACGGCTTCCTGCTATTTTCATCTAAATTGGGCTTTTTGTTTTTGAACATGTGTTAGCAAGCGGAACTCTTAACTGCACACGACTTCCTAGTGTGTTTATTTCCCCAAGCCTTCTCATTCATGGGGCTTGTGAGTCCGGATTCAGAACAGCTCGGGGGTGGGGGGTGGGGGAGTGAGGCTTTTCTGATTTTTTCAAATTGCTGCGTTAAAGTTTTTGTAATCCCATGATACTTGAGGGGAAGCTAGGCTCTGTGCCAGGTGACTTCTCAAGCTCTGGTTCTTAATTTCCTCAACGGATTTATTCATTGTTATTCATCTGTTATGCATCCATAGCATTGCTGGCCCCAGTGTCAGTACTGGGAACCTGGCTGTGAGTATAACAGTTCTGCCCTTATGGAGCTTATATTCCAGTGGCAGGAACAGTAAACAAATGAACAAGTGAACTGTGGTATGCTCAAAGATGTGCGCTATGGCGGAACCAAAGTGGGGGGTGGGGGGAGGGGTCGGGAGGGAGGGGCTTTCCAGAACCGTGGCCAGGAAAGGCCTTGGTGGTGAATTGATATTGGAGTCAAGACCTGAAGGAGGTGAGGAAGTGAACCTTGTGGTCGGCTAAGAGATGACCATTCCAAGGAGAAGCAACAGCCAAGTTCAAAGCCCCTGATAGGTTATGAAGTTTCCCTTTCTCTGTAGCTCCCCACCCCCCATACATTTCCCCATATATTGGATTCTCAGGCCTCTCTGGGCAAGGGCTTCTGGGATTTGTGAGGGAAGGGAGAGGACATTTCTAATTTATTTTTCATCATCCTGAGGTGTCTGGCCTTCTCCCATCAAGTCAAAGCCCAAGTGCTAATGCATGGCCCAAAATAGCAGTGAGCAGACCTTTAATGGAATTCACACAGGGAGAGATTGCCAAGAATGGTGAGGATGGAGGAGCAGGGGCATGGGCTGGGGGAGTGGGCACGTAGCAAACGGGCCTTCAGCTCAGAAAGCAGACACCCCAAGTTGTCTTAATTCAATAACATGACAAGTGGCAGCCTTTTCCTGCTGTGAAGCAACTCAGGATAAATGGATGGCATTCCCATGGGAGACGCACACCCTTTATTGAGTGCAGGCAAAAAGGAGTGGCCTTGTAGGGCTGATCTCAATATGGCTTTCATGTCGGACAGTCCTAGGTTGAGATCCTGACTCTGCCCCTTACGGAGCTGTATGTTCTCTTTAAGTCTCAGTTTCCCTATCTGGGATATAAAGATAGCCCATGCCATGAGCCATGGGGAGGATGAAATGAGATGGTGTGTGGAAAGCCAGCACACTGCCTCGCTTCTAGTCCATACTCTGTAAATGGCAGCTACTATTATTTCTTGCTCATGATTTTTTAACTGCAAAAGTAATACATGCTTGTTGTAAAACATGTAGCAATACCAAAATATGTAAGTAAAAGAGTGAAAGTCTCCCACCCTCAAGGAGAATCCATTGTTAGCTGTTTGGTGGGCATACCTTGGACCTTTTCCGTGTGTGTGAGAACACGCACACAGATACTCATAAACACAGTTGCACAGAAACTCACATACCGGCTGCTATTTTTGTTGGGGAGGGAGGAGCAGAAATGAGACTATACTATATATCTTGTTCCATACTTGTTTTTTTAGATTCAACTGTATATCTGAAGGTAGTATTCTACTCTAATAAAAGTATGTATAATGTTGCTTTACATTTACTCACATGCATACACATAATCCGCCAAGGTTGGTGCGCAGCTGTTATTAGGAGAGCCTTACTTGTGATTGAGGCAGTGTTGTACGTGGAGAGAGTACTGAGGTCAGAGACAGATGATGTAGAAGTGATCAACAAGCCAGCTGGCTCTCCTGGGTCTCAACGTTCTCATCTCTAAAATGGGGATTTAGTCCCCGTTGGGCTCTAAGAGCTTTTTAATTGCACTACCTATTTAAAGGACATGGTGTAAGTAGAAAAATGGAAAAGAACTTCCGACCTTACGGAGTTTGCTCTCCAGTTATAGAGACATCCTTGAAAATAGGGCACTGGGATAAAGGCAAATGCCCCCAAACCATGGACCTTGAAGTTGAGGACAAACTGCTAGCTCAGGACTCACCACTTAGGCAACACAAACACGAGAAGGGAAATGACAGGGAAGAAATTATAGGCTGCTATTTCCACAAGCCACAGATTTGAGGCATAAATCCATAATATTTTTTCTGCATATAATTTCCCCCATGCCCTGAGGACTGCCTCATCAACCCAGAAGCTCTACTAGACAAAAATTTGTTTGCTGAAATCAAATGGAATCTTCCTTAGCTGTAAGCATCTAGGGAGATGAACACCTCCAGGAAATGTAGGCTCTGGCTCACTCCCTTCTCCCTTCTGTGCTTTTTCCCAAGGAGGGCCCAATGAACTGTTGAATCAGCTTGCAGGATGCTCACTGGGCTGCATTTCTCGAGGGCAGGATCACTAGGTTACAAGGTCACCTTCAAAAGCACACGAGCAGCTCAACTAGTGGGCACTCTGCCCAGAGGACCTTTGGCCATGCACTTCTCTCTGCTGGTCTCTTGAGCACGTTCTGGAACTCTTAATTTCCTTGGTATACTGTCCTTCCCTTGAGTACAAATGATGATTAAGATTCAGATTTTGGCTTGGGAAAGAGAGAAATATCTTTTGGTCTCGCTCCATTCATTGTGCTCCAGCCAGCTAGCTAAAGGGAGATCCTGTTTGCACGAGTCTAGCTAATAAGAGTGGACATTTGTTTTCTTTTGTGTGTATGTCTACCTCCAGACTTCATGGAGAACAGTAACTGTCAAGGCAGAATTTGGACTTTTAGAGGCTCAGTGTTTGTAGCATCCACGATTACTTCTGATGTTAATCTCTCCTCATCTCTCTAATTTCTTATTAGTCCTTCAGAGATGCCACTGGGAAGGAGACTGCTTTTGTTGTCCTGGAAATCAAGAGACAACCTGGAAAATCAACAGCATTCACTGCTAATGGAGTGATCTAGTACCCTAATTTTCTCCTTTTTCCCCTCAACTCTATTTGAATTGTATAATACTGGAGGACTGGAGAAGGGCAGTAAAGGAGAGACAGTCTGGATTAGTTACCACCTCCTGGTGCTCCACTTCTCTTCCAAGGAAGCCTGGTATAAATGTGTAACTGATCCAGAGCAAAATCCTGATTACACCCAGGCCATGGCACTCTCTGCTGCCTCCACTTTTCTAGTTTCCTCTTGAGTTGGGAGTAGACTTTAACATCTTATCTAGGATAAAGGACAGCTCTGTTTGACCCTCTCTTGTCAGGAGCTTCATTTGTTGGCAAAATTCAATTTCCTGGATCAAAGAGAAGCTTAAGAAAGGCTTAGACGCTATCCCAATGCTCTTGGTAAACCATGCTTCACTGAGTCGCATTGAAATGAGTCAACAGACATATGGATTACATTTCACTTAAAATACACATGGCTTAAGAAATTAGAGGATATCATTCCTTAACCAAGTATTTGGCAGATCTAACGCATTCAAAATGTTTTTCCAAACTTGGCATGCAGCTGGGCTCCCCATTCCCTGCAGTGGAGATCGTGTAACCCAGGGAACCTGGTGCCGAGGAAATGGTTGAGTGGATGGGTGGGGACACGAGAATTTGATGAGAGCGGCCTGTGAGTGTCTGAAGTTTACTTCAAACATTTTCTCAAGCATCAGGAACTGAAGTTAACCCTGCCATGTTGACTCTGAGGCAGTGAATGCATAAGCGGATACAAATTCCAAGCACTGTGCTAGGCACCTTGCCCCAGAGACACCTCGTGGTCCTGTTTGAGATGTAGTTTCCAAATGTAGCTTTGCAAACTGAGATTGATTTCATCTACACTTCCCATGTTGTCCAGAACCCCTGGAGTTGCAGACAAAATGGACTGCCAGCCTATCTGATGTGATCTTTTTGCAAGCCAAATTATCGCATAAGCAGGGTCTTTATTTATTTCCAAATCACTGGAGGGGACATGATATTGCTATCTTAGGGTCCATTGCATAAATTCAGTTTCAGTAATTAAGAGTGCTCATCTGAAGGGATGCAGTTCTACATTTGCCAGAAGAGAGTATCAGGGAGTGTCTGGAATTGAAATAACCTAGATGTGTTGATTCTGAAGGCCGTGAGTACCTAAACCTGAAACATTATAACCCATAGAGTAGAACAGGCTCAGGCTTTGGTGCCAGAGAGACCCAGATTTAGTTCTAGGCACTGACACTTCCTGGTTAGGTGGCCTTTGGCAAGTCACCTGCCTTCTGAATATTTCTTCATCTATATTCATAATAATATTCACTCCTTAGTGAGCATGTACTGAGAGCCAGTTACTGTGCAGAGGCACTTCAATACTGCTCTATATAATCCTCATGGCAACCCTTCCAGGGAGGTATCACTGTTATTCACATTTTATAAATGAGGAAACTCAAGTGTAAGGAGTTTAATAATTTATCCAATGTCAGCCGGAGCCAGGACTCAAACTCAGATCTACCTGTCTCTTACTATCTTCTACCACATGCATAGAAAGTAGATATTAATACCTTCATGGGCTAGGTTGAAAAAGGGGCCCCTCCCCAAGATATTCAAGTTCTAATGACTGGGACGGGAGAATATGTTACTTTATATGTAAAAAGAGTCTTTGTAAGTGTGATTAAGTTAAGGATCTTGAGAAGGGGAGATTATCCTGAATTATCTAGGTGGGTCTTCAGTGAAATCACAATTATATTTATAAAAGGGAGCCAGGGGGAGACTTGATCATAGACAGGAGAAGGCAGTGTGACCATAGAGGCAGAGACTGGAATGATGTGGCCACAAGCCACGGAATTCAGGTAGCCACTGGGAGCCCGATGAGGCAGGGAATGGCATCTCCCAAAGGGAGTGCAGTCCTGCTGACACGGTGATTTTGGCTTGGTAGGACTATTGTCATTCTTCTGGCCTCCAGAACCAGGAGAGACTAATTTCCTGTTGTTTAAAGCCACTAAGCTTATGTTAATTAGACAGCAACCACAGGAAACAAATACATCTCCTGAGGTTTAGCGATAATGTATTGGATGTGCTCAGTACAATGCCCAGCACTTAACAAGCAGGTTTCAATACACACTAACTTCTATTAATGCAAAAGCAAGAACAAATGTTTTCTGAAATGTCTTGGTAATGCATAGCATTGCATGTGGCCCCTGTGACTGTCTTCAAGTATGAAGTGACAAGAGAAAAACATATTGAGAAATAGTGTGTGTGTGGTTATCACTTATCAGCATTTCCTAAGTTCCGGTCATATTCTCAGATGCTCAGTCTGCCTTCAGGTAACTTCTGGCTGAGGAATGATGGTCACATATTAATAATCATGGTAATTATAGCTGTTACCATGTAGAAGATGCCTACAGAGCAGGCACTGTTCTGAGGTCTCTAGGTGGTTCATCTAAGTGAATTCTCACCACAACTCTGAGGTGGAGGGACTTGTATTGGCCTTATTTGGCAGATGGGGACCCTGAGGAATGGAGCAGGGTGACTTGCTCCAGGGCCCCTGGGAGGGAAGGGCAGAGCCAGGATATGAAGCTAGATCTGTTTGACTCCGAAGCCCAGGCTCTTAGCTGTGGCTAGATGTTTCTTCTCAGAGCCTTGTCCTTGCTTAGTATGTTCTGTCTTGTTAGAACTGGTATTACTTCCCTGTCCTACCCTCCCTCATCCCTTTCCTTCTAACAGTCCTAGGCCCTGATTAGGATCTGGACTAAAGTGTATGGTAGTAGTGTCGTCCAGGTGTGTATGGCTTCAGAGCCTGGCTCCTTGCCCCCACTGGCGATGTAAGCTTTGGCAAGTCACTTCATCTTTGTGAATCTGTTTCCTCATCCCCTTGGTGGGGCTAATAATAGTGGCCACCTTGCTGGATGTTGTGTGGATTCAATAACGTCATGCTCCCAAAGGACGTACACAATGCCTGGTGCACTACAAAATTGCAATAAAAAATTGCTATTATTTGTATTTTGCAGGGTCGGAAAAACCGTTAAGAATGAAGTAAGAGAGGGGCACCTGGGGGGCTCAGTCATTAAGCGTCTCCCTTCGGCTCAGGTCATGATCCCAGGGTCCTGGGATCGAGCCCCACATCCGGCTCCCTGCTTGGTGGGAAGCCTGCTTCTCCCTCTCCGGCTCCCCCTGCTTGTGTTCCCTCTCTTGCTGTGTCTCTCTCTGTCAAATAAATAAATTTAAAAAAAAAAATCTTAAAAAAAAAAAAAAGAATGAAGTAATAGAGAATTTCCCTGAGTTGGTTTCCAAATATAATTTGGGAGGGTTGACCTTAGAGCCCATGGCCTGTGAGAGGAAAGTCACTCCTGCTCTCCAGCTACGGCCAGTTTGACCTCACTGTATCTCATGAATACAGCTTTGAGGGGCTCTCCAGCCAAGCCAAACTGTACGTCTTCTCTGTGCCTGGGAGTCAGTGCCCAATCGCTCCCTTGGCAAAGCCCTGAACTGTCCGACGAGGAGGTCAGGATGTGTTTGCCGGTTCCGGCTCTCTCTCCTTCCAGGGACCCGCAGCCAGGGCTGCCTGTGTAGCAAGGAAGGATGTCCCTGGTTTTCTTTTGTCTCAAGCTTATTTCTCCT